CCTTCTTCTTGAACATCCATCTACCCGAGAGACATCTTAGCAGTAAATGGCATGTCATGACAAGGTAAAAATTGTTGACATAAGAAAAGTATAAAGTAGTGGTTGATTTGATGTAATTCTTTTTCAGGAAGCTGAAGAAATGCACATCAAAGCAATTCAAATTAAAGAGCAACTTCTTGGTCAAGAAGATTATGAAGTAGCCCTTTCAGTGGGACATCTGGCTTCTTTGTATAATTATGACATGAATCAGTATGAAAATGCTGAGAAACTGTATTTGCGATCCATAGCAATTGGTATGTTTTCTTTACATTTTCTTAGTTGATTAGAGATCAACATGTCTTTTATGTTGTATAAGGAAGTATTCTAATGAGACATGAAAGAGTTTAGATCTACAGAGGAGTCCCAGAAACCATCCAAAAACCATCTGGAAAAATTGTGCTAGAGGTGCTTTTTTGATGCTGAAGTCAGTGGTAAGAGGTGTGGCACTAGGTGTCGACTAGGTCGGAGGAGTTATTTTCAACTCTGTGTACATTTGCTATTCCTGCCTCTCTCCTTTCTCCTGACTATAACATAGATCAAGGTTTGCTTAACTTTTTTTTATTTGGTACACAGTGCTGCCGATTGAACCCAGGGCCTGCACACCAATGTACATTCCCTGCTCTGCGCTGAGCACCTCTCACCCCTACCCTTCAGTTTTGTGGCAGGATCTCATTAAGTTGCCCAGGCTGAACTTGGACTTGCAGTCCTGCTGCCTCAGCTTCACAGGGTGCTGGGGTTGCAGGTGTTCACCACTATCCCTGGCCTATAGCTGACTTTTTTTAATGAACAATAATTTTAAAGTACATTTGCAATGTTATATATCAGTGCCACTTGTTAATTTCCAATACTCTGTAGTATTTTATTGTATTACTGTGTCATCTATTCCACTGTTAATGGGTATGTGGAAAATTTTAATGTTTCCATTTCAAGGTATGGTAAAATAAGATACTGTGACCATCATCTTACAGAGTATCTGCTGAACCTTTTGCCTGTGGCTATAGGGAATGATTTTATCACTTATTTACTGATGTATGGAATTTTTTTTTTTTTTTTTTTTTTTTTTTGGTGGGACCAGGGATTGAACTCAGGCCCTGGCGCTTGCCAGGCAAGCGCTTATTCTACTGAGCCATCTCCCCAACCCTGAAATTCTTCATGTACTATGGATGTGATAAGTCCTTTGTTGGTTGCATGTGTTGCAGATATCTTCTCTCATTCTACTGCTTATTTTCTAATAGTGCCTTTTTTAAGGAACAGAAATTCTTTATTTTTTTTTTTTAATGAGCAAAATATATTTATTGAGGGAAAGAAAGCTCCTGTCCAAGAGAGGGACAGGAGGGGGGCCCGAGTGGGTTGTTTCCCCAGAAATCCTTGATTTTAATGTAATTAAATATATTGATTTTTTCCTTCTGTGGTTAGCACTTTTTGTATTCATCTTTTGGAAACTCTGTTTAACCATACACACTTAGATCTGCAGTCCTAAAACTGATTTTTGTTTATGGTGTAAGATAGGACTCACATTTCATTTTTTTCTGTATGAATATACAGTTGACCCAGGACCATTTTTTTCAGAAGACTTATTCTTTTCCTTTTCTTGTACTTTGTCATAAATTTTCTTTTTTGAAATGTAATCTTTTTTTTTTTTTTTTTTAA